TTGCATGACGCACCCAACACCGCAGACGCTAGCGTTAGCTCCACGAGCCGTGAAAGTTCAATGCCGATGAAAAAGGAGACTCTATCCTGCACGCCCTCGAAAGCGCGCGGCCTTTCCTTCTTGTCCCGACGGTCTCTCTCCTTTTCCACCGCGTCCAATTCCCCCTCCCCCCCCACCCCCCCGCTGAGATCCATTCGCCTCTCCATCGACCACAAACCTGACGTGGCCGCCGAAAAAGCCCGAATTCTTGCCGCTAATGGCCGCGTGTTCGCTGTCCGCTACGACGACGGGGTTGACGGACCCGCAAGAGTCTGGCTGAAGGACTTGGACGTGCCCGGTCTCGCCATGTCCCGATCCCTGGGCGATGTGGTCGCGCACACGGTGGGTGTTTCTTCCGAGCCGGAAGTGTTTGAATACACCTTGGATTCGGCCCGGGACGTGTTTTTGGTCCTCGCGACCGACGGCTTGTGGGAGTTTATGTCGGATGCGGAGGTGGTGAGGATGGTGGGAGTGGCCAAAGACCCGCAGGAGGCGGTGGAAACGCTCATCAAGGAGGCAAACACCCGGTGGCTGAAGGAGGAGCAGGTGGTGGACGACACGACGGTCTGCGTGGCCTTTCTGGGGGAGTGGCGGAAGTAGGAGGCGCCTAGGAGCGGGGGGACCTCGAGGAGAGGGCGCAGATCCTTGCCACGCTCGGACGATCGCGAAACACATGGGCGTATCGATAACAAAAAAGGGGGGAGGGTGGTAGAAATGGAGATTAAAATATTCCAAATCTGAATCGTAACGTCTCTCAGCCTGAAACTTATGAGGGAATAAAAACAGTCACCGCTCTTGTAAACACACAGAATTTCCATAAGATCCTTCATTTCCATCGCTGACGCGATACGTCCTAGTATTTCAATTTCTTTCGTGCGACCTGTCTGCCTCCGAGGTAGCTTGATTGTGGCTATGTCGATTGTTGTCGTGCTGATTCCTCGCCTGCCATCCCTCCCTGCCTTCCCTCTTGTGTGCACCGTCCCACGGTCACTTTCACCTTCCTGCCAAACGCCCTCTGACAACCACTTTGTCGATCTCCATTCCCCCCACCGCTTAGGGTAACCCTAACCCTAACCTTACTCTTCCTCGCGCGCACCCTTCCCAACAAAGCATCCTTACACCACCCCCACGGGTCCCACCCCTCTTCTCCCCCGCATTGCCCCGCCATCTTTTCGACCGAATCCCTCACAAAAATCTAACCTGATCCACCTTCTATGTAGGCTTGTAGTGGTTTTCATCCAAAGTCGTGTACAGCCGTCCCTCCTGCGCTAAAAATTCCGTCGCCTGTTGAATTTGGTTCGCCGAAAGTTTCCCCGACAAAGCCCGCACGACCGTGGCCAGCTCTGCCCCATTGTCTCCCATACTGTACTCCATGAAGGCATTGAGCACGGCTTCGTGCACGTCGTTCGTGCCTCCGTTCATCCCTCCCGGACCGGCCATCATCATCTTCCCACTCACGCCACCATACCCGCCCATGCCCATCCCCATTCCCAGGCCCATCCCACTACCCACGGCCGCCCCGGGCTTGAGCATGCGCCCTTTAGTGTTCTGACAGTGCACCCAGATGGCCTCGAGCAGATGGTAGGTGATTTCATTGCCGTCTTTCACCACCCGCATGTCATGCACACTCACGTGGCGCTTTCCTTGGTAGTCCCGGACCTGGCCAACCACACCCACGTAGGCCCCTTTTTGGCAATAACTTCGACGCTCTTGTGCATATTCACTCTCGTCCTGTTCCGAAAACACATGGCAACTCAGAATCCCCGTGCCGTCGTCGATTTTATAGGCCCGCATCACCGCGGTTTCTACAATGTCCAGGATTTGCCCTATGATTTTGACCTGGTGCAGGTCGCATCCATCCACTTTGAAGGTCGGGGCATCCGGCTCATCCTGTCCTGCATTTAAGACTTGATGAACCGTCAGAGGCAGCAAAGTTTTCTGCTCTTTACTCGGTTTTGCTGGCCCTCCTCCAGGCCCACCCCCTCCTGGCGACCCGAAGCCCATTCCTTGTCCTTGGTAATCACCAACTCCCGGCATAAAACCTCCGCCACCGCCTCCATATGTGTCTGCAGGTGCACCATACTCGAAGCCACCGTAAGACATGATTCAAAGCGTGGCCGTACTCTCTGCAAGGAGGAAAGGTAGAAGCGCAGAGGGCGCGTGGGTAAATGTTGAGGGAGATAGATGAAGAAGACATGGCAAGCAGATCACGACATCAGAAGCACAAAGTGACGGTCCAACCATGCAAAGGTTAGGCAATGCACTGTTTGGTACACCGGAGGAAGGCGGGAAACATCTTTTTGCGGCCTCCCATGTCATGGTAAAGCATGCAGAAAACAGGCTATAAAAGAGCGCGAAGAACGCCAAGGCCCTGAAGCATCTGTTGGCTTACTAAAGTGTTCGCGTCCATGAAAGTCTGCGGAAACAGTCGAGATTCAGGAGGGCCTCTTTACGCTGTCGTCGATACCGTACATGGCACAGTTGTCGTATGTTTCGCTCCATCACGTGTGCGTGCCCTGCACTTTGTTCTCACATTGCTTGAAGCCGGCTTGTTAACCTCCCCCCTCGCCAAAGCGAACTGAATTCTTGTTCCTGTGTCGATAGTGGCTAAGAGTCTAACATATTATCCAAGACATTTTTAGCCATGACGACAAGTGGTGAGGTGGTACTCTCCTCTGCAGACTCCCCCGGCCAGTTTTATCTGGGAACCGCAGGATATACGTATCCTCATTGGCGACGATGCTTTTACCCCCCCGGTGAGTTGGTCAGTATCGAAATGCATTGTTGATTGTATTTGATCCTTCGTATGCAAGTTGTACTTTGATCCAAAATACCTTACATTTATATGTTGTGATGTCATTTGGGCCTATTTGGACGTGCGGGAAACGAACAGGCCTTCCCCACGCCAAGGAGCTAAGATTTTACGCCCAAACGTTGAACACATGCGAGGTCAACACCACCTTCTACGGTAAGACTACAAAGGCATCCAAGATTTGTTGTATATTGAGTTCATGGAGATAATTGATCAGAGTGTCCTTGGGAACTAAATATGAGGGGGGAAAAGGGGAATAGAAGTATAGCCATCCACGTCAACTAGCACTGGATAAAGTCTTTTGATCAGGCTCCCTCACATGCCACAAATGCGAAATGGCAACAATCGTGAGTGGATAACTGAATGTGACCTTTTCGACGGTGCCCTTCACGACAGGCATACCCAGCGAAGCCACAATGACGTCCTGGATCGAGCAAGTCCGGCCTGTCAATCCCAATTTTCGCTTCGCGCTCAAAATGAAGAAGACGGTTACGCACGGTGGCGAAGCAAATATTGACAGCGACATTAACGACGCAAAACCTAGCGTTCCCGCTGCAGCTAACCCGACGTCGCCCGCTGCTGCCGGGAGCCGTCTTAAGGAGCACTATTCCCATCCTCTCCACCCTGCCGCCCTTGCCCACGAACTTCCACTCTTCTTCAAGCGTGCCTCCTCCTTGCCGCCATCCATGCGCGGGCCCATTCTATTCCAATTCCCGCCTTCGTACACGTGCGATTTGTCCTCCCTTCACCGACTCGCAGATGCGCTGGACATGTACGTGTCCCGCCCGACCCCTACCTCTTCTCCCCAATGGCGCTGCGCCTTGGAATTTCGACATCCCTCCTGGTTCTGCCCGGCAGTCTTCTCTTTTCTCCACGTCCAAGAATGGGCGCTTGTCCTGCACGCGCTTCCAAAACAGCAGCAGCACGAGCAGGCGCTGGCGGCAGAGGTAGCGCGGCCCATAACCTCCTCTCACTTCGTATACCTGCGCCTGCACGGGCTGAAGGAGGAACACGCTTGGGATTATACGCGGGAGGAACTTGATGAATACGTGCGGAACATCAAGAAATGGAGAGAAGGGGAGGGAGAGAGCGGGGTGGCGGGAGGGAGGGAAGAAGAGGAGGAGGGAGAGTTCACAGGCGGGAGGGACGTATACGTATACTTTTTGAACGATGCGGAGGGAAGAGCCCCGGAGAATGCCTTATTAATGGGGCAGATGGTGGCGGAGGCGATGGGGCGGGGCGAGAAAGCGCCCCGCAAGCCAAGGGCGGGCGTGGCGATCACGAAATACTTCGGAGGTAGGACGAATGAGGGAGCGGAAGGAGAAAGTAGAGAAGATGAGGCGCTGCAGCGGACCACGGTAGGGTTCCAAAGCGAAAGACAAAAATTGGGGGGGAAGAAACGGGCAAGGCTAGAGGCCTGTGGGCGAGATTTTCAGGAAGGAGAGGGGAATGCCGGAGATACAGGAGGGAGAAGCGAGGAAAGGAGAGGACGGGTGGAGAGGGAGGAGACTGTTGGGACAAGTTCTGGTCCCCGAGACCTGCTGCGAAGTGCGTCATCCTCGGAGCTCGAGGAGGACACAGGTGGCAAGAAAGGGAAGGACGAGGGGGCCTCGGACGCGACCAGCAAGAACATGGGTCCAAGCACATCAGGGAAAGGCCCTGCCCGCATTACACAATTTTTCGGCCCAAAAAAATGAAGGCGCATCATTATTGAAACCCTGAACTCCTGTTCTTCCGGATCGTTACTCACCATGTCCGTCATATCAAGATGCCGTTGTGCTTTTCTCTATTTTTTCCTGTCTTTGCTCACGCCTGAAGGTGCTTTCCCCTCTGTCGTGCACACATCTCCACGCGCCAACCCCCGTCCTACCAACTTCGGGCCCTCCACAAGTATCAAACAACAGGGAGACTCCTTCCTATTTCCACCGTCTTTTTCCCTCTTCCCTCATTCCTCCCCCCCTCTCTATTGCCCTGGCTGATCCCGCTCAGCAGATCACTTCCTGCGATCACTACCAAGTCGTACATGCGTCCGTCTACACTCAAACCTCCCTCCTCAAACATCCCTTTCCGGTCCAAAATCTTCCCCAGTTCCTCCTCCGTGATATCCTCCTCTGCCCCTCCCTTCCCTCCTTCCTTCCCCCCCTCCTGCCCCCCATCCCCATGCCTCCTCTGAATGTCCTTCACGTCGTCCGCCAGCAGCCTCCGCAGACCCTCGGTCGTTATGTCTCCTCGGCTCCGTCGGCCTGCCTGCCGGAAATCCCCGCCCGTGATCGAGAGCCGCTCCAACTTCTTCTTGCTGATCTGCGCCTCCATCATTTCGATCTCCACGCTCCCGATCGTCAGCATGCGATACACAGCCACGGCCTTGGTCTGCCCGATCCGGTGGGCCCTGTCCTGGGCTTGCGCATCCC